CAATTTCCAACTGCCACTGTTGTCGACGTGCTTCTGTATTTTCGGACAAATTTGGATGACGGATGAGGCCGTAACCTTACTCATTCAACCGGACTGGTGGTGCTTGTTTCAGACATATTTGAGCAGCTGGTGATATTTGCGTTTTAAAGCCACAGATGATGTATTTTTAGCGCGCTGCCTAGCCTTCTTCCTCAGTTTTAATCCAGGGCCTGACGCGAATAACTGGGATTTACTCTCTGTCAAGCTTTCATCAAATGAATCGCTGTTGCTTCTTTTCATTTGTTCAATCATTGCTACCAGTGTTTCGCACTTCTGTGATATTTCATGTACAATCTTTACCTGCTGGATGACTATACATACTGAACAGAACCACAGTAAATCTGTTTTACTACTGAGTAGCGTTTACTGGTTCACTATGAGATTGGAACATTTACGATGGTACTTGCCAAGACAATTGTGTCATCGACCGTACCCAGACAAGAAAGGATTGTTACTTAATAATAAGAAGATAGGACCGTTCGTATACTCTGGCTGCTTAATACTGTATGCGAAGGATTAATTAAGCATGCAGCAGATGTGGGAATGGATGCCAACAGAATGACCTCTAAGCATCATAAAGTGCCACTGGAGCAATGAGGATTCCACGAAACCCGCACTTTTCTCTCGAAACAATAGGCTTTATGGCGATATAAATGCCTACCTGAGTATGATGAATACTGTATTATAGAGCAAGTAGAAATGAATTATGTACAACTCTTCCGAAATATGGTGAAAAACGTTATAACCCTTCTCAACCGTGAATATCCTTATCGTACTCATGTAACATTTGAAATATCTGACTCACCACGGTATTGCAAGAAACGAATGTGACATGTCATCGTAAGTGTACATTGGTTCGCTGAATCGAATAGTGGGAAAATATAAGTATCACAACGTTTTGAACTGCTGCACGCATGCTGCCTCCATGATATGTTCAGGCAAACTGTTCCAAATATTTACCACTCTCCGTTCGAAGCACAGTGGGTGGGGAACACGCTTCACATCGCGCACGACAAGTTTGCATCTGTGTCCGCGTGTGCTGCATGGCCGTCGTAAGTGCAGCTTTGGCCTCAGCATGGGGAAGTCACCGAGATGTAGAATACGGTAGGTTATAATGAGGTCGACTCGTACCCGACGGTAGGACAAGGTGTGGAGTCCTAGTTTCTCGCACCGGCCTTCCTACACCAAGCCAGGTATACTCGGGATGAGCCTGGTAGTAACGTGTTGGACCCGTTCGATCTTTTATGCCTCGCCTCGGGTAATCGGAATGGAGGCGGGCGAACCGTACTCTAGCATTGGTCTAATGATGGAACAGAAGAGATGAGTGGCAACCTCTTCAGACCATGTGCCGAAGCTACGCTTGAGCGCCCAAAGCATGCGCAATCCTTTGCGATATAGCCTGTTCGTGTTGTCCACGGAATTGGAATCCTATCGCGACAGTTCTCCTAGGTCATTCACGGAGGGTGTGGGATTTAGTGGTTGGCCGTCAAGGGTGTAGGTTCGGCCGTCAGCACCCTTCCCTAGGCTCATAAATACAGACTTGGCTGGGTTGACCGGGAGATGAACTTCTGCAGACCATGTGGATAGGCGGTTGAGGTCTTGCTGAAGTAGACCACAGCGTCAATTTCGCTCCAAACCATCATGTCATCCGCAAACAAGGCACATGGCGACCTGAGAGGCTGAGGTAGTGCAAATGGAGAAGCTGAGGTAATAGAACCTACATGTATTCGTTTAGGATGTTCTGAGCCATACATTGCTGATGTTTCTGTGAGGCTCCAGGTGGACCGATTGACAGTTGAGCAATGTAGCCAGCGACTGAATAGGTGCATCAAGCAGCTCAACTTTATCATGAAGCACTAAGGACGTTGGTCACTTTGGTAAAAAGAAGGTTGGCAAAAGATCACGCAGTTCGAGGTGCAAACTAAGATTTTCGCTCGAATCCTAAGGTACAAGTGCTCTCAGTGACTGTCATTCACTTCATTCCCAATTCTCATGGGTAAATTGGCATTCTTCACGTTCATCGCTGATAATGCGCAGGTAGCATCCTGCTTACAAAAGCCCACGATATCCGATGTCTTATAAGCAGTCCAGCTGATACGAGTTGCACCTTTGCCAGCAGGTACAGCGTGTCGTTGACTAATATACTAAAGTAATGCTTTATTTCACATGCAACCCGATGCATTCCACATAAACTGTAGGTAAATATACTAGTTCAGCTTGCGCAGTTGCTCGGATGTTTCTAACCCACTGGCAGATTTTCGCCTATGATTTGGGAACACTGTGCAGGTTCAACGGTAAAGCTGATGGCAGATTAATTTTTGGGTTTTGAAGCACACGTCGAGTGCCTTCGATTGCGACACGCAATCTCAATTGTGGCCTCGGTTGACTGTAAAGTCAGCCTCTGCCAGTACGATCACTGGGACTATCACCGAAGCGGGGGGGAGGTACAGTGTGACTCTCTCGCATCCCTGCATTCCACGGCTGACGGTTTCGTCATGGTTTGGACTCATCGGGTAGAGATATCCGAGCTTGGAGTGGAACTCAGCACCTAGTGCGTGGCGGCTATTGCCATGCTCACTAGGCCATTGAGTTCCGCGAACCGTGCTTGACACAACGGTTGGAAGTTAGTTTTCGGGCTTTGGAGCACCCGCCGTGCGTCTTGGATTGCAACACGCAATCGAAATTGTGGCCCCGATTGACTTTAACGTCAGCCTGTACCAATCCCAGCTCGGTTATCTCTCTCTGGTGAGTCCAAACCAAGACAAAACCGTCGGTCGTGGAGTGCAGGCACGGGACAGAGTCACACCGAAACCCTCCACTAAAGTGACATCAGCCTCATTGACTTGACTGAGGTGTCCACGGAAACAGCAGACCGTAAAATATGACAGATTATACCATTGGTTGCTTTTGAAAATCGATGGTGGATGGTCATGAAGTTTGTGAAGATCGGTTTTGAGAACTAGGTAATTCACCCTGACTTTTAAGCTGGAAAGGAGGGTTTATAGTAACCGAATCTGCATCGGGTAATCGACAATTGAGCCCAAATTATCAGGATATTTCGGATTTCTGACTGGCCGCGCAACACTCCTAAGTACGCTATAACGCATAGATGAAAATATCCTAACGCTCTGGTTTAGATGATTTAAACAAATAAACAGTATAATATTAATGTTGCGAAGCACGCCTGCATAGGCATGACCATGGTGAAGCGAACACGAAGGATCGGTCAATGAATAGACACGTTACATGTTTGCAGGTAACATTCTGTCTATGTTGTACGCATATAGGTAAGTATGTATGTTTGTAGCGGTTGATTGAATCTGTGAATGTGCTGCCGTATTTGTGATTGTGTTCTGTCTGGTAGTCACCGTGAGAAGGGATTAAAGCAAACCTTCTGGGTGGATGCCTGACGTCCGAGGATTGGGTACATTCACTAGCATGGGAAAGCAGCAGTAACTAGTCACATCCGCCAGGTCTGAGTGTTGTTAAACATACAATTGTAGCTTTTGTGGGAAAAACGTATGTCAGGCGGAAACCCACCAATTTCTGAAACACTGCCGCCGAACCAGTCGCTGGAAACCGGTTTTATAGGTCGGAATTTTAGCAGGTTTTCCCCCTGAACGTCAATGGTTTTTCACACGGATTTGACAATCTTTCTTTTGTATTGCGCACTCCTTATTCCTTTGCGACAGAAAACAACTCTCCAGGTGTTTATTTACTGGCGAGTCGCTGATGAACCGTAGCAGTAATTTACAAAGTGAAGGATGATTGTTCTTTTGACAGGTATTTCAGATAAATCATTTTCTGTAAATCAATATTTCATGGCCTCATCCCCTCCTTATTTAAACTAAAAAGTTTTTTTGTTGATAAATTGCCTGAGGATCGTCTCATACAGGCACGCGGCTATGTTACCTCTCATCTGGTTGGACTATGCATCGGATCGATGCAGATCACTATTTGGGCTCGCACCCAAGGCAGTCCCCTACTAACTCCTCGTCTCTTGTTAAGTTGCCTTATGTATGCAATCTCAAAGCTTATGGATGATGTTTATATAGTTATACAGGTCGATTGATAGATAAATAAACTAAGCAGTCTCCTGAGTGATTTACTGACTATTTGATTCACAACCACTGTCTGATACGCTCCAATAAACGCGTGAGTCGCTGTAGCTACTAATAGTCAGATTCAATTACCTAGTTACTGACCCATTGTAAGACGAAGTTGTAAACCTTCTTTCGTTGTGAACTCGTTAAAACGGTGTACTCATTTGGCATATTGCGTGTGTTTTTACCGATAAGCTGCTTTTGCAAATTGAATGTGCAGCCCCTATAGAGATAAACAAACGAAAATGACCATATACACGTATGTCATAAAGCACGATGGCACCCACACCAGCATCCATGCTAATACTGGGAGGAATACCAGACCAGTGAATTCCAGAAATGCACTCCTGCGCACTACGGTTTGCAAAGTAATAATGAGACTAATTTCAGTACAACTAGCCCAAACATGTAGGAATGTTGGATCGTTACTTAGTGAGTGCCACTGCGTTTTGTCAGCATGAAATTGGGATTGGCGTGGCAAGTATGACATAGTACGTCCTGGTCAGGGTAACCGCCGTCCTGTGGCCTCAGACACAGACCTCTACAGAGATGGTGAATTCGATTTTCAGCTGCCTACTTAATACCAGCAACAGTAGTACGAAATCACCATGGTAGTAAACACCAGGCATGCGAATTGCCGAGTTAGATTGAATCACCAGAACTTTTTGGTTTGACAGCCATCACAGTGATCAAAGTCCGCACCAAAGCAGGCAACCGAAAAAACAACTGGTCAACGGTATAACAACAATCTATACAACAGACTGAGTGTGGTTGAGTCAGCGAACCTAATAGTATACTTCAGACATCAATGTTCGTACGATAGCCCACTGCTTTAAATAAATCAAAAAGAGTCGTTTTAGTGGAATTCTTTAATCGATGGTATCTGGAGAATATACGTTTCTGTTCTCTTCCAGTGACTTCGTGGATTCCTTGCAGAACCAAGAGGTGAACAGCGGAAAACAACAGTATCTATGCAAACACGATCCACCAAGACTTGGTGAAAGCATTTGGGAAGTGAAGGGTAAGCGAAGTGAAAAAGCATTCAAAGTATGTAGAGCTTTCGTTGTTCCAGTAACTAATCTAATAGAACTAATCTTCTCATTCGTTTTGTACCCAATAAACGCAACACAATGTTTGTTCAGGGGGTACATAATAAAAGACAAAGGAATTCAAAATACACCAAAAATGTACAGAAAATATAAACATTTCTCTACTTTTCTGTAGATGAGCGAGTGTGGGGGAATCGGTGACGAAGGTCACAAGTAAAGGGAACTACCGAGAGGGAAAGGTGCAATTTTCGATAGAGTATTCGTTGTTCTCGTTACTGGGTATTTCCGCACCGTCGGATTATTTCACATCATCCCGCTTAATTGGAACTAAAATTATACACAAAAAGACACCACGGACTTTAGTTATGATAATCAACATAGTATTGCTGGATATTGTAAGGGTTTTAACAGGGGTTCTTCACCATCGGATTCAGTGAATATAGCACATGCATAAGACGAAACAGGCAATTTCTAAACCCACGATGTGTATGCGCTGAAGGGTGAACATGGCGCAACCAGGAAACAGCTAGGAAAGAAAGTTACCAGATATAGTGCGGAAAATAAAACGATACATCATGTTAGCAACGAAAATTCGTCCATGCCTTGTGACCCCGGGCTAATGGAGGCAGTGTGTGTGTGTGTGTGCGTGTGTGTGTGTGTGTGTGTACGAATGCAGTACCTAGCGAAAGTACATCTATGAGCGAGCGAGGAAAAGTAGTGAGGAGTTTACTCCTCCATTTGGTATATCACGAAATGTCGACGAAACTAGCCTAAATGTACACAGTTTAGTAATGTTAAAATAGAAAATGAAACTTATGGTCTACAGGCTGTCTCGCCGAACAACCTTGCTGTGGTGCCAGCTTTGTGGATGGGGCTAATTTCACTCAAGCGAATGGTTCGGTGGCTATGTTCCAGGGTTAACTCTTGGCAAGCGTTATCCCTGTAAAAATCCACATAGGTCTGTTTAACAACATTCCGACGGAGCGGATGTGACTCACCACTAAATAACGTCACTAACCTTCGCTTATCCGGATAACCTTCCTCATGCCACAGACGTCAGTACTCTAAGCCGACTAGTTCCTTCAAATCCCCAACATGCCGGCGGCCTGACTGAACACAACACCAGACGCAGCGTCAAAGGAACATATTCAGACAACCCGTCATACCTAGGTACATTCTTGTACAAATATATACAACGATCCAGTAGAATACTGGTGACTTTACATATTTGTACAATTATCTATCAATCCAGTTTGCATTACTGATCATGCCTGTACACGCGTGCCTCGCACTATTGAAAAGGAAAAATCTATTTATTAATTTGTTTATATATTTTTATATGTGAGGGTCGAACTGACAGTTCCCCTAATGAGCATCTACTTAGACCCTTGTAGCTGCAGTTGTCAGAGATGCGACTCAACTCTTCTGGTTCATCTCCAGCACGGTCCGTTCACAGATCGTGTGGAAGTTTCTGATGCCACCGACCATTAGTGTCTTTAGGCCAAGGCAACCCAGTGAATTAGAAACAATTTCATATGTAAATCAATTCGAGTAGGCAAAACAAAACTTGACAGAACTCACCGTCTGTGAATTTCCGCGCAATCAATTTCAACAGCTCATCAATAAAAATGACCGGTACTGATAGTTTGATCACCATAAACCATTCCTCCAATGTTAACGGCGTAATCTGAAAGACTTTCTAAAAATGGGAGCGAACAGGTAGCCACTGATTTACTGGTTAGCACTGTGAGATTGTAAAGGAAAATCCGTTCTATTTCTAAGGCTGTCATACCACGTAAAGGTATTTTGAGCCAGACCTCACGTTATGAAAAAACGTTGGTAGAGTAAGGTGGGTAAGCCCAGATGGTGCGTTAAGCATCTTTTATGTCTAATAAAGGCTGTTGGGTACTGTCAATGGGAAAGACCACCGTTTATTTTTAATAACGACTACCTTGAACAATTCTTAGTACAGTTTGACAGTTAGAATTCTTAGTCAGTCCCCTTCAGATAGCAAGCGAGCACCGGATAAGCAACAAGGGAAAGGAATTACTCACATTATGTATGGTACTGACCTGTTATGAAGCAGATATAGTAAGCGTACCCATGTAAAACAGACGTTACCCTGCAAACGCCAGTAGCCAGTAGCAGCAGTACAGCTAAATGGTCGTTCTGATTCCGTTATTTCAATAGTTCAAAAGTGTATGATGAACAATGAACAATGAATTTATACGGGTTAAGAAGCGTTGCTTTACAAGCCCCGTTGGGTAGTTGGTGGGAATATCAACATAATAATTATGGTGAAAAGGATAGTAAAATAGTTAACACTTTAAATACGAAAATAAGGACTTATCGTTTGCTTCGCTGCAGTCCTGCGATCCACTTAGAATCACAACACCCACAGTTAACAACAAATAATTCCAGGGTAAACTCCAGGTGTAGGATGGAAACATAGTGTTGAGCAACAAAGTGTAAGTGGATGAGTGCATCATCCAACCGTCTTTTAAATATTGTTAGTGTCGGTGCAGAAACGACCGATTCTGGGAGAGCATTCCACGGGTGACAGACACGGATGGAAAAGAAATTTCTGCGGCACTCCAGACGACTGCATTGTTCTGCGAATTTTAATGAGTGGCGCCTCAGATTTTTATTGCTACTGAGTTGCAGTAAAGGACAGCACACATGATGTGGGTCTTGCAGTATCAAGTATGCCATAATCAGGTCGCCTCCTAGTCTGCGATAGCTTCCACTGAACAATCCCAGTCATCGCAGCCTCTCCTGGTAGGAAAGATTGCGCATTCCAATTACGTTCTTAGATGCACGGCGTTGTGGCTGCTCCAGTGCATTAAGGTCGTGTTTCAGCCATGGATGCCAGGCTTGAATTGCATATTCGACATGCGGGCGAACATACGCACTGAGCAATTGTCGGAATATGGAGCTGTTTATTTGTTCAAACGCCCGTCTCAACAGCCCGACGTGTTGGTTCACGGTCTTCGAGGCCTTTTCGGATTGCCTGGAGCAACCCAAGTCATCTTGAACCAGGACACCTAAGTCACGTTCGACAGTTGATTGTTGCAGTACGTCCGTTCCGAGTCGGTATGAGTAGCTGCTTTGAAGTCGGATGGAAAGCACCTTGCATTTACTGACGTTGAAATGCAATTAGTTTTGGATCGACCATTGATACACTGTATCTAAGTCACTTTGGAGCACATGTTGGTCGGCGTTCGCCTGGATCCTGCGCCAGATCTTGATATCGTCGGCAAACATTAGGAAGTTTGAAGCGATTCCCTGTGCAATGTCATTAATAAACACCAAAAACAAACGTGGACCTATTACCGAGCCTTGCGGCACACCACACTCCACTTGTATGGGGTCCGATAAAGAGCTCCGAACTCTGACCACTAATTGCCGTTGAAATAGAAAGTTGGCGATCCAGCTTAAAAGAGGGTCGCCGATCCCGTAATGCTGCAGTATGGATAGTAGTATCCGATGGTCTAGACGATCGAAAGCCTTGGAAAAATCCAGGTAAACCACATCAACACCTTCTCCAGCGTCGGCTGCCTCGGTCCAACTACTGCGTGCAATTAGTAAATTAGTTGTACATGACCGCTGTCGACGGAAACCGTGCTGTTCAGGAGTGATGAGGTCGCAGTTTTCCAGATAGCACACCAGTGCATCGGCAACTATGGATTCCATGAACTTGGAGAGTATAGGAAGAAGAGTTACTGGGTGGTAGTTGGAGGGATCAGTTCTGCTTCCACCTTTGTGAATCGGGCTTATTATTCCAAGCTTCCACATGGCAGTGTTGCGCCGATATCCAAGCGCCAAAAGTTGTCTAACTCCAACCGTCAGAGACATTGCTTGGTCTCACTCCATAGACAATTTCAACGGCTTTCCAACTAACTGTCACTCGTTCGAATCCAACATTGCTTGGAGCAGCCACAGGTCTCAAAACAAATTCACCCGGCGTGATCCATAGGCTTAACCAGGAAAATTCTCAATCACAACCTCGTGTATTCTGCCCCACATTCAAGCTGACACATTCGACTGGCACGCCAGAGAGGACAGTCTGCGAGCACACAACTGCAACTTGAACACTGTGACCTTACCGAAAACGCAATAACAGAACAACCTTTTACCATAGCGGGTGAGTCATTCAAATGGTTCGTAACATTTCCTCAACACGCGCGATGCCCAGTGTGCCACAGTCTAAAAACCTATGTGGATCATGTACCAAACTTGTTAAGGGGGGAATTTCGTGCGGTAACTGTTGCAAGTTTCTCCATGCGAGATGCCTCCGGGTTAAACCTAGCCAGGCCAAGTTATTAAACAAACCAGCCTCTCTACGGTTCTGCGTGGAATGCACATCTATCCCACTGATAAAAAGCGTGCTCCTATTATCTCAGAAGTACGACAAACTACTAGCCTACTTTGATGAAATGGTTACCACAGAAATCACTACAGTTGGGGTGAGCATAGCGGACTGTGCAATTCAATCATCCCCCGTAAGTAATGCTCCTATCCCGAGAAGAACTGCTAGTAACACCGTAAACAACACGACACCTAGTGTTCAGAATATCAACTGCTGTTCCAATGCCACACGTGGCTCACATTTGACTAATGCGGTTCCCAGTTTGATCGGAGTATCTACACGTAAGGCTACTTCCAAACTCCCGACGGAGTGCGTAGAAAAAGAGCAAGCCGGTACGAGCGAAAGTTGAGGTATTGTGGCTTCCAGGAAGAGCAGTCATTTAAAATTAACATCACCCCCCAAATGAATCGGATACTGTGGAGTGTAGTGGAGTTTTCCTAGTGCAAGTACCACCGGTTTCCTGCGGTACATCTCAGAGTGTTTTAATCACTAATCGTGACATGTCGAAAGGTATAAAGAAACAGCTATCTGTACTGAGCGTACTGTGCTCCAATATCCCAGAATCAAAGTCGACATCAATAAGAGACAGGCAGTTGGATGACCTCAACCAGTGGGATATTATTAGTAACCTAATGGGAGGGTACTGAAACCTGTACAGGTAATCGTATTACGCGACACCCCAACTCTAAGCATTTCGGAGAGCCAAGACTTCTGTGCTTTGTGCTGAACTCCATCACCGAAGTAGAATCAGTACTACTGTCGACAGGTAGTCTCAGAAATGAACGCTCCTCCATCCGGATCTATCCAGACATACCGTGGGGCGAGCGTTATCGATTTAACCGCACCTTAGAGGACCACCGGAAGAAAACTTCAACCAGAACCACACTTCTCCACGAGGTTCTTGAAATGGAAGCACGTGATGAGTATGAAATAATAACCCATGATAGAGAACAGTGGTGTTATATTCGTGAAAGACTCTGCTGGGATGATGTGTTAGCGAACGCTGTGTCACGGCTGCGTACCTCACCGAACTACAAAGGAAGTGTTCCGAGTGTTGAGGGTGGTCCTTCAGACAAAACATATGGTAGCACGGCTGCTAAAAGCTGGTACATGTTCCGTTGCAGGCTAACATTTTAGCTTCGGCTGAAGACAATCAGCGATATGCCTCATAGAGATGATATGTCACCCAAAGAACCAAACGCTATGGGATTAATAAAAACGAAAAATCCACCAGTATTGTGTCGAATGAGCCCATACAACCTGTAGAAGCTGATATTGACCAGACACCTTACACTGTACGTCGAAGATTAGACACGGGACTAACTACACGGACGATGAATAAGACGTTAAACCCTTCACCAAGTATACATCGAAAAAACGATTAGTCGCCGGCCACTCACTGATGGGCGAAACTTCACATTTGAATTGCACCACCTCCTAAACATTTGCTGAAATATGAGAAACTTTCATGTATGTAAACTAACACCCAAGGGCTCCTCAGTTAACTTACTGAACTTCGGCTACGTCAGGTTGCGAATGCTTGGGACCTAATTTTTAGTACCGAAACTTGGTTAAACCAAGAGGTGACTGATGCTGAAGTTGAGATAGCCCGAATGTCACTCATCCGAAACGACAGCCCAAGCATAGGAGGTGGGGTCCTACGCTATTACCGCAGCGATCTGCAATGTGCAAGATCCGATAATCTGGAAACTCACTTTACCGACTAACTGTGTTGCCGTCTCCGATTAAGCACAACGACGCATGTTTCGTAGTTGTCCTTTATCGACCCCCAACGTCCATTCCGGAAATGGCTTCCCGCTGGATACGTGGCCTGAACAGAGTAACATGCACTAAGTACAGCCACATTCTCATCTCCGGGGACTTCACTCTACACGATCTGAAGATATCGGCATCACCCAGTGAGCAGTTCACGGCAGGCATGCATGAATTGATTGCTAATATTCCCTTGTAAATCATGTCACAAGGCCCACTAGATTCAGGACAGTAAACAAACCGTTCATATTGGACCTTGTGCTCACGAATGAAGAGCTCATGGTTGACAAGTTATTGATGGATAGTCCATTAGATCTCAGTGACCATGTAGTGTTAACGTTCAACTATGTGTGTTATGCAAAATATCCGTCTGCACACTCGGAATTAACTCATACAGTCACACGCTGCCACGTATTGAAAGAACTCGTCGACGCAGCTGCTTGGGAAATCCCAAACAACAGTCCATTTGACAACTTTTAGACAGAGTTCGTTGATAGACTCAGCGACATCGTCAACAGAGCATCAGAGATCAAGACCCCTCGTCCCACAAAAAATGGCTTTTATTCATAGGAGCAGGACTGGAAAATGTCTGGTGACAAGTGATGCAGCATGGCGTGCATACAAGAGTAACCCCGACTCAGAGACTTGGAGCAATTTCATGACCCATCGCATCCATTGCCCTGCGCTTGTCCGTGAGCACAAAGTAACTTATCAACAGTGCCAAGCCAAAATATTCCTGGCAAATCACAAACTGCTGTATAGGCATGTCAACAATCTTCGTAAAGTGAAGCATGGAATCCATCCACTTTACACGACAGGCGACAGCGTACAAAGCGCCAAAGAAGCAGCTAATGCCCTACGGCTACCATACGTCACAATTTTCAGACTCACAGCCGCTACCTGTCCCATAATTTCATTCACATTACCGACTCCATCTTTTCCACATGTAATTTTCATCCCATCCATTGTGCTAAGGAAGTTACTCTCACTGCACGATCATAGCTCTCCGGGAGCAGACAACATCCGCCCGAAGAAACTGTAGGCTGCGACCAACAGGCTAGCTGAAACACTGTCACAGTTCTCCCAAAAATGATTTGATGAACAACAAGTCCCCACTATGTGGAAGCGTGGCATTATCACCCAAATCTTTAAAGGCGGTAGCCGTTCAGATATTGCAAACTATCGCCCAGTGACTCTCCTCCCTGTGCTCGCGAAAGTAGTGGAAACGTTCGTAGCTGAGGATCTAATGGACTATCTGGAAGAATGTAACACCTTGGTCCCGGAGCAGCGTGGATTCCGTCAACACCGGTCATGCACTATCAACCTACTGATTGCACGAGGTAATTGGACGGAAGTGGCTGATGATGATGTTGGAGTTGACGTCATCTGTCTGGACTCCTCCAAAGCTTTCGACCGCCCGGATCACGGCATCCTGCTTCACTGGCTACAGAGCTACGGAATCGAAGATCCTGCACTTGGTTGGATTAGCAACTTTCTTCACCAGCGGAAGCTTCAAGTACGAGTTAGGTGATCACTCTGGAACCCGATTGAGGTGGCTTGTGGTGCTCCGAAAGGCTCAGTGCTGGGACCGCATTTATTCCTGGTGTTTGTCAACAATCTGGCAAGAGTTATCTTCTCAAATTTCCTGCTTTTCGCCGATGACGTAAAGATATGGCGGGCGATTAGTAAAAATGAACATCACGATCTACTCCAATATGACCTAGATGGCATTTATGAATGGTCAACGAAGAACCTGCTTCAGTTGAACATAGCTAAGTGCAAGGTGATCCATCTGCGTCATCAGCCGGTGAGTGATTGCAACTTTGGAGACCACGCCTTGGAGCAGGCCTCTCCGGAGCGTGACCTGGGTATATTGGTACAGGACGATTTCGGGTGTTCAAAACAAGCAGAGAAAGCGACGAGAACCGGAAATCAACACTTCGGCTTGCTTCGCAGAGCCTTCGGTCGGTTTGAATGTTCAATGTTTCCCCAAATACCTAACACCTACGTGCAACCGCACGTGGAATATGCCATCCAGACGTGGCAGCCGTGGCAGAAACAGGATCTCGTTGCTCTCGAGACTCTTCAACGTAGGGCAACCAAGAAGGTCAGGGGCCTCTTTCATCTGCCCTATCAGCTTAGACTGAAATCTCTAAGAATGTACAGCAGTCGATATCGGCTTTTGCGGGGGGATCTCATAATGGTTTACCAGATTCTGAAAAACCCAAGCCACATTTGCCGACCGTTGCTGGTATTGAACCACAACACTAATCTAAGAGGTCATCCTCTGAAACTGACAATTCAGTATAGCCGGCTTGAATGCCATAGAAATTTCTTTTCCCTTCGCGTGCGCCAGCCTTGGAACACCCTCCCTAATTATGTCATCTCTGCTCCCAATCTGGCGATGTTAAAAAAACGAGTTGGCGATGCGTTGTCCCATTCGCATTTCATTTTATGAATAGTTAGCCATGGGCTAACAAACGCAATCAAACGGTGTCTTACCAAACTCCCAACCAATGTATGTATGAATTTATACTTGTAATACGCGAACATCCCGGCTATTCTACACAAGTCTATGCTGAGTCCAACAAAACGCTTTTCACTATCACGCAATCTACATTTCGCAATAAGTTCAATCCCACGGTACTCGTTAAGCATTGCTTTTTTTACTCGTAATACACCATTGTTCCATTGAATGAACTTTGAAACCACTATAAATGGCTTCAATTAAATAATCATTAATAAGTTTAGTCCGATGCCAAAGTTTACCCGCATATTTCTTGGAAATCATCATCTAACATGGAAGATAAAGAGACAACTTACCGAAAGGAAGTCCACCTCCAGTATGATGAAGTGCAGTGTCATACTGATGACCATAGCAAGGACTAACCATCCATTGGCCCATGGAGGCATAACGAGTAGAGACTGATTCTCAGAGAGGCTGAAAAACATAACGGATCACGTGACTTGCCATGTGTGCACCGATAACTTACACTGCTCGTTCTCGAGATGATGCATGGGAGGGCTTTCCGTGCTTTTCTGATGCGGGTTCTTTTCATGCCAAGAAACGTATAAGCATGCATTGGAGAACCACCTTAGAAGCTAAGTGAAATAAAGCCACATCTGTTGTGACTGCTTTTGAAGCATGTGTTAGCTCAACTTCCGGTGCCGGTAATCCCAAAGTTTGTGCGCGTTCTATCGATAAAAAGCATTCTGTTATATGCGAGCAGCGAACTCGCATGGTGAGTACAAGATATCCCTATGGAATCCTTTGAGTTAATCAGTTCCCAATCAGAGAACTAATTCCGTTCTGACTGAATGTGTGGACCAAGGATCTATAGTGAGCAATCCAGTATTACGAGACTCACATTACAATTAAAATCCTACTGCTAATCAGTGATATAAATTGTAGCCTCTCCTAGTTTCAAAAGCTGTGGAAGTCATGACCTTCGCAGGCTCGCCACCGTCATCTGCTAGGGTAGTAACCTGCGTGGCAGTGGAAGATAGGTCGTGCTTTATCCTAGTTAGCTTGCAAATTGTGTAGCCCAGCCGACGTCTCGCATGGCTCAGTGGCTTAAGCTGCTGGCTACTTGGCATCTGTCTCTAACGGTCATGGGTTTGATCCCCAGTGGGGGACCGAGGGAATGCTCACCACTGATGAGCCCCAACAGGGCGAAACGTGTCTGGTGCTTTTCCAGACTAGGCTGTGCTAGGTAGCTTATGAGCAGCTGGGACGAAGACATTGCAATTAAAATCTTCCTGCTAATAAGTAATAGTTGTAAAGTGTTGGACCCTCCAAATGTTATCAATCTAGCACACCAGACGTCATTTGTCCATTCAGCATGGCGAAATGATTGAAAGTGCACCGGTGAAGTTTTCCATTTCATAACGGATGTGTCATCGTTATTTGGTGATAAGAATAAAGGGTATATAAAATGTAAAAGTATTGTTCAGCCTGTCTCCAGGGTGCTTGTGCACTGATATTTTTCCAAAATTCACTACAATAGTTCCAGTGTTCTCAGTGTCGGTGGAAAAACGGTCCTAAAGTGTTACAGATGTTATGCACATGAAAAGAAATTACAGATTTCCCCTACTACACTGGATGACTTCGAACAGGCATTTTCGTTGTAGTAAGCACACATCCCAAACTGCCCATAGAAATTGTATCCATACAAACAAAATTCTCTTGTTTCTTTATTATTTCCAAGACTTAACCGGTACACGACCGCCTAGGTCATACGCATGCAGGAACATGCAAAAAATACAAATATCTTGTATTATTTAAATTTTTTAAGAGCTGAACACGATGAACTCTGAGTAGGCCGCCACTGATGATCTCGATATATTCGGTAATCAGTACCAAACTGCTTTTCTATTCCTTGGCTGCTGGCAGCAAACCAGACTGGAGGACGAGAGCGAGCGAAAGCACCGAATGTTAACAGTGTTGATTAGAACCAACCAGTTCAGCCTAGCAAAGGGGCTTCTAAGGATTGGGCTCTCTATTGTGTGGGACTATCCAGCTACCAGTGGCAGCCTACTTCAGAGGACATTGAAAGGGCTCCACGGAAAATGCTGCCGTTTGGTCAAGGAAATGCTGTAAGTGTGCGTTTCAGCAATCTTCACTGTATAGTCACGCTTAAGTAGCGTCACAACTGCGAAATTGTCAGTTAATGGGTACAAGTTTATTGAGCTACAACAAGGAACAGCCTAATCGGCCACATTTCCCTAGGAGCCCCTTTGTTCAGCAAGAAATGGTAGGCTAAAAGGCAGTACGGTAATATGCAAGCAGCAAGGCGTAGCTGAAAATGTCGAAGCCGCACTTTTTCCATAGTTCCAATACATCAAATGGAACTAAGTTAGTTCTCGAGGTCCACGCCAGTCTTTGGCCGGCCTACTCACCTGTTCATCGCGTTCAGCATTTCTACCAGAACCAGAACAGACAAAGCCATAGTCATGGGCTTTGGGTGAGTGAATATGGCACAGTCGATGCCCTCAAAGCGGGATTCTTGAGCAAGGCATTGCGATTGATGCGTCTGCATACAAGCAAGGAAAGTGAATGATAAAGAAAAGGTAGCATACACAGTTAGATTAGACCAAAACACAATTAGCACAAATTGCTGAAGGCAACAAACCGTATACCTGTTCAAAGCATTGCACATTTCGATTAGCACTAGGACAGATAAAGCCATGGTCATTGGCTTTGGATTCTGAAAAATGTTGCAGTCAATCCCATGAAAGTTGTACTCCTCCGCTTGGCACTGCATATGGTGGGTCTAGGAGATGAATTTGAAGAAAATACGATCGAGCCACGAGAAGAAAATACTTGCAGCTGATCTCACTCAATGAAACTTGGGGTTTAAACCTCCGATTGCAGCGGTTGCTCTTCGTGTGCTTACGTCACTGAGTGCTTTGTGAAATGAAGCAGGTAATATGGAAGTTGCACACCTAAACATGCTACCATAACTCGAGTCAGGGTATAGAATCCGGTAGTAGAAAGCGCATGGTTTATACACCCCTAGGCAACTGCTTCAGTTCACAGTTGTCCAATTGATATTCTAACTCAGTTACTCGATCGATTCAGGCATGAGCAATAATGCACCCTGTAAGTGTGAATTTTCAGTTGTAACGAATACGTCATCAAAATGGGGAAAAAACAGTGTGTAGTATTCGCAACAGCAAAAAATACACTAGCAATATCAAGGTCTACTGCGCAGCACAAACACATTGGTAAACTTTATTCTTCTATCCTTGGATAATAGCTGTCGGGTCCGACAGAAATCTATCCACATTAGACATGTGTGCTCACATTTATCAACTTGTAAGTTCGAGGAATTAGACGCACAATAAGATCGGACAAGAAACACGGGGTGACTGAAATCGGTGAGTATTTGCGAGCCAAGTTTTGTGTGAGAATTAATGTGAGTAGACACAATAGTTTAAGGTAACGCTATTTCATGTCTGTGATGCACCATATGCTCTAATATGTTCAGGCTGGTCTGCAACAGACCCTACCTACCATCATTGTATCTTCACTGTTGATTCTTTGGGGAACATATTTTGCGGATAGATTGCTAAGCACAATTGCAACCGGTACCTTGATTCACTTTGAAGAAATGCTCCTCCTGTTTGGTCATTTTAACGACATCGTATGTTCTGGGTGTTTGAGCTGATTTTAGTTTGCTTGATATAAATGAACTCCACCTAGTTCGGTATAAAATGACCACTACAGTCCTTTCATGATCAGGCCACCGTCTCGACCACAGCAGGAAGCTATGCAGATGAAACTCTTTGTCTACGAGACATTACTAGCACAACGTAATCTCTCCTTGGCGGTAACCGAGAATCAAAACCAAATCTCACAGCATTACACCCGTATGTCTAAGGTAACTACTTCCTACGCTAGTGGAAGTCAAATTGAATAAATGACTCCCGTTCAACTTATGCGCGGCAGAAGCGAAAGATATTCGCAGCCTTCCATTTGCGATTCCCTAATAAGGAAAAAGCATGACCCAAATAGGCAGTTATTTATCTAAAGAGATCAAAAACACCGTACAGACAATACAAACTGCGTATCACTTACCAGTTGGTAGTAATTTAATTGTGGTCCTTTAGGATACAACGAGAACCACCAAGCCGCAGCTCCCACAGTAGCGCAACCAACGTATACACCCACAGCCAAGTAACGGAAGAACAACCAACCAGAGATAAGCGGGTCTTTTATGTTTCTTGGGGGCCGAGACATGATATCCAAATCCGGTGGGTTGAATCCAAGTGCAGTAGCGGGAAACCCATCGGTGACCAAGTTGACCCACAGGAGCTGAACAGGTATAAGGGCTTCGGGGAGTCCAAGTGCCGCCGTCAGGAAGATACTAACAACTACGAAATGGAGTTGAAATGTATAGAATTCGATAGACATTAAAACGAAGTATATGCATATGAATCGGACTGTCGTAACCATAGCAGAACAAACTTTCACCGCTCATACGGGAAAAAAAATTTTGAATCAAAGTAAAACCCAGAATAGATAACGCCACGTATCAACTACCTCAGCAGATGACTTGAATAATAGCTGCATGAACACGGCTATTTTAAAAGGCGTGCAGCAGTAAATATATGGCTTCCACAGACGCTCTCGCACTACGGTCAGCAGTCTGTCATAAGAGGAAAGGGCGTACTACTGAGCAGCGAACGATTAATAGCTGTGGATCTAAGTAGGTTTACAGTATGTCCAAAACGGATAAGGTCGATATATATATATATATATAATCTTTTTAAGCTGGATAAATTTTATTCCAATTTATTTGCTTTGTCCTGCCAAGCAGAATAATCTTCTATTAACTTTCCACGTTGCTTACCGTAGTTGTGCTTATCTTCGTTAACTTTATTGCGTTTGTAGCATTTTCTGAGTCGCGTCTGGACACGTTACTTATCGCGGATTCGTTGCTAAAGAACATAATTCATATGCTAATTTAGGGAAGAGTTATGTCTGCATAGCTGTATTCTTTAACAGGTATGTTTTATTTGTTACTGTCATTGCAAGTGATTGGCTGTTGTTTGATATCCCCGGTGTCGCTGCGCATGATGTGCATGTTGACAAGGTGCCTACCTGTCTATTACCCACTACCTCGTCCATACTGGCTCCAGGAGACAGTTGGTCGTTGCTAGAGGGGACGGGGTGCACGGTCCTTGTGGTCGTGCTAGGCTCGAAGAGTGGTTCCATGCACTCAGTGTGGAGCGGACTACAGTCCAGCCACCGCTTTATGTGCGATTGATTCCGAAATACATCGTGCTTGTTTTCGCATGTGAAGGAGTGTGGGCCGGCTCCGTTGATGAAACGTGGTTCCCATCCACATACCTCCCTGTCTTATTCCCTCGTGTTTACACTAGATATGGGGTGTGTGGTTGTAGCTGTGGATGGTGCAACGCAAGCCACTCTTGGCCTCTCTGTAGGCGAAGGCGTGCTGTGGCTGGCCACAGTAACAGGCAAATCCGAAATCCGATGCCTCCAATTATCATACATATATATATATATATACTTGTTATTAACACGCTACTCATCCAAAAAGTTAATAATACGAGTACTTTTCGTCTTCTACAAATAATACCGGCGGGTTGGAGATGATACAAAACATATCCATTACATTGAGGTTGCGTGTCGCAATCCAATCACACAACGTGTAGTCCAAACTTGACCCTCCAAATATCCTCTCAACGTTTTCATGAGGGCGCGAGAGTATCTTTTTTCTTTTCCTTCATGTGCGAATTTGATTAGACACACTAATAACAGCATACAATTTATTAATTTTGCTATCGATACTACAAAGACGATGCGACGTGCATGTATCAGCCAAAATTCGTATAATCACTGCTTTACAAATTGCAGACAGGAATCAATTGTTTTAAATCCTTCTGTGTGCATGGAGTACGGAAAGTAATCATTACTTGACAAAATTGTATACCTGAGTTTACTAATACCAAATTTCTGGGGAAAAATTATGACAATTTTACTATAAATAACCTAAGATTGAAGGTCGTTTCGTTTCGTGCCTATGAGATAAGAAAAAGAACCCCGAGATGTTGCCTCTAGTTGCTTTCAGCTGTGCCCACTGACCGATTTCGGCAATCATTTGACCAGCTTTCAATGCAATGCTAACCAACAACCTAGTGCCTACCACCCAGGAACACGGAACATTCCAGAGGTAGTTATGTGGCGCACGGCTAGGTAAATCAGCAGTTAAATTGCCTTCAAATTGTGGGTTAATTGTGCACAACTTCCCAAACCGAATGCTTGACTGCGGACTCAGTTGCGGACATACTTTACGGTATGCAGTTACAGGACACGCACGTATGGCACACCTTGACTGTGGTAAGTGAAGTGATCCAGTGTATCTGGATCAGCTAATTCTGTGACTTAACATGCAGTGACAACAGAGTGTCATACCGAGTTGAGGCCTGCGTTCGTAATTGTATATTAGAGCCTGTACGATGCAGTCACCAGTAATCCTCATACTTAGAGAAGATTCAACTTATTACTTTGCTCATTGAGGCAATTCACAAGAAAGATGCTGGTAGTCTTCCGTTCAGACCTGCTATCATCTATTACCTAGCCAATATCAATCGCATTCCCTCAGCTTTACGTGAGCTAGCCGTCAGCAAGTGAATAGTGGGAACGAATGCGAGTCCTCATGAATCTAAGAACCAATGTGTAGTACTAGTTGTGAGCCCTCTTGTATGTGTGCAGGTGCTAGGAACGGGTACATTCTGAACCAGCAAAAGATAAGCTGATTGCACTTCGTCATACGCAGTAGTATATTCTATTAAAAGGAAAACATCATCATTCATTGATTCTTTAGCCCCAGGCAAAGTGGACTTCGAATAACTTGGCGGTCTAGCCTTCGGATTCACCTAGCCCTTGCTGGTTCGTTTCCATCCAAGTGAGCACTGACTGATCGCACTAGTTTCACTATACTGGGCGTGTGTAACCACCCAATGCTGGGTATACGGTTCTCACAACCGCTTTATTCAAACCAGCATGAAGTGACGTGCATAAATGTTCGGCTCCCACAAATACAGTATCTCTAACAAGGGTTCCGGAGGAGCTTGTTTCAACAAATCTGTAGGATGCGGACTATGAGATCGTAATGTGAAATCAAGTTATACATGGATTTAGTACACATAGAAGAATTCTCTTTTTGATAGCAAAATCTATACAGCTCCTACATGAAATTCCTTGAGTGTTGGTGCAGCTTGCCATACAATCAATTTGCGGTGTATTCCTTCAGGCAGAATGTAGCAATTTACAACTGCTTGGGGTTCCCAGTGTCCTGTTCGGTCTAACAACCCTAAATCAAGACACTGAAATACTCTGGGCTACTGCCATATAGTGAGGAGCATTTAACAGGTTTTGGACCACATTCAACTAACTCTTCTGAACCACTTCGACTGATCTGCGTAAACCAAAGCAGTATCTTTGCATGCCAATACCATATAAGTAGGACGTGTCCCATGATACCATTTCCACGGTGAACTCGATATATGTTTCTACTGTCCATACCGGTCCTAGTACAAATGCCGAGTGGGGCCTGTCGGTGCACGAGTGGCCGTATCACAGGGTAGTGATCAATTTGTTTTTTTTATTAAATAACCTTAGTAGACTACTCCCCCGTTAGTGCAAAAACAACAGGTTGGCTTAACGATCTCGCCTAACTCTGGACAGGTTGGTACCACTCACTTGCATTATGGACAGTATTTACCAAGGTCCGGAATGTGTCTGATGAATGGAGAAGCATTATTACACGAATCCCAACGCACCAACAAAGGCCACAAGCCTTGTTCCTACTTGAATGGGTAGATGTTCACCCAATGGGTCACTGAAAATGATGATCTATAAGCTGTGTTCACAAGATGCGCCTGCTGGACTGTCTCCGACCTTCACCTGGTGTAAGGTGCGGATGTCAAGAACGGTGCATTCGACTCCAGTGTGTACTTGAGCGCCACTAAAATGTTGATACCCTTGCAGATCATAAGCTGTGTACCCGCTGCGGCGAAGCCGCTGACCTACTCAATCCACCGTTGTGGTACTGATTGCAACAATTGTCACAAATTTCTCATATTTTCCTCGTAGCAATATTCCCGCATGTGAGGGTGAAGTATACGAAGCTGACATCAAATTGCGTCTTCGACTGTTCAGCCTTGTTTCTCCCCTCGGCTTCTTTACCATCACTAGTTCTCCCACACTGGGAAGCGTTGATCCGCCCCCTGATTTGGTTCTTCGAATGGTCATTGCCCTTATCCACTCTGCCATTCCTTAATTGTCCATCATCTGCATCGCCTACTTCATCCCGCTAAACGTGCTTAGACGTCGCATAATCCTCTGTGTTACCTGGTCCCAGAGCCGCAGTCCGCACATTCGAGGGTAATAAGTATCACTGCAACGATCAGAGTACACATATTTATTGATGTTTTTACGTATGTATCTATTTACTTATAATTCAGGGGATATCAGGCTACAGCAGCTTGGTAGATAGTCAGTAATTCGATGGGCAACCTTAATTTATAGGTAGAAATTCGTCACTCAGTCTGTGGGGGCGTGACATTTCCAGGCAGATTTCACAGTAGTCTTGGTCGCTGGACATCCCGAGTTAGGTGTCCTACAACAGAGCATCTCTAATGTCCGCATTCACTTACCACAACCATATCCCTCGGTTGAGACGCATATCCGAGGAATAACTCTATGGGAAGCAGCGTACATTTAAAAAGACATCATTCGCATGCGCCTCTTTTAAGATAGTGACAATGTGTTTGTAAACTATGCAAACTATTTCAGAGATGGATTGAAGCCGGTATTTTCAAAGTCTTTCTTGGGCGAGTAAAAGAATGTTGGGCACGAAACACAGAAGGTATCAGGAATAGACAACAGGAATAGACCTCCAGCAGTACAGCTACCCGGTATAATTGGCTACCGCAATAATTTCTGTTACATACTATTAGTAACAGAGTAATAGAGACGCAAGCGGAGTTGATTTTCGGAATCGAGTGAGAATTGATCGGCCAGCAAGTACCAGCCCGCGTCAAGGGAATCGAACTATTCCGTCAATGTGATTAACCCGTGGAGTGGAACTCACTCACACTGGCTGAAAACCAGCCGCGGCATAGTGAGCGACCTTGACCTAAATTAGCATGTTTCGGTTACCAATAAATAGAGATACACTCTGTCTACCGAGTTCTGGCCTTTTGTATTCCTTCGGTTAGTTGGGTGCATGACTGAGCAGTCAGACAGTCGCAGTCTCATAGGGCAGCTAGCAACAGTACAACAGTTGTCAGTGGCAGAGAGCAGAGGAAAAGGAGAAGCGTTACAACACAGCAAAGTTAAGTGTGTGTGACTCAAGAACATCTGAAAACGGTCTCGCTTACCCTCGCCAATGTTGGAGGAGATCAAATACCGAATGAACTGCTTCATATTATTATAAATGGCGCGACCTTCCTCCACCGCCAGCACAATTGATCGGAAATTGTCATCGGCTAGAACCATATCTGCAGCAGATTTGGCTACTGCCGTTCCGCTGCCCATAGCGATGCCTATTTCCGCCTTCTTCAACGCAGGAGCATCGTTGACTCCGTCGCCTGTCTATTGGGAGAACAGAAACGGAGTGAAAACTGCTTTAATTCCGCTTAGTTGAGGTGAGCAACTCTTTAGTGAGAGGAATGATAATGTCATACTACTCGTAACATAAAGTGGTTCACAAGCAAGATAAGCATACACCTAACGCAGGTTAACTGAGTGCTCACCATGGCTGATACTTCCCCATCTTCCTGTAGAAATTCCACAATCTTGCTCTTGTGCATCGGCTCCACACGTGCAAACAGGCGAGCTCTTCGACAAGCTTCCCGTTGTTCTTCGATTGGTAACGCATCAAACTCACGACCAGTGAATGACTTGCCAGTAGTGGATTCATCTTCGGCAAAAATGCCAATTCGGCGACAGATGGCTTCAGCAGTAGCTTTGTTGTCACCGGTGATCATAATGACACGAATACCGGACTGGCGGCATTTGATTATGCTGTCCATGACCTCCATTCTTGGCGGATCCAGCATCCCAACCACACCGACGAAGGTCAGGTTTTGCTTAAGTGATAAAAGTGGAATAAATCGGATTCTTTTTAAAGTAATTGTTGATTAAACCACATGGCTAAGCAAACTGAGATGGTAATTATTGCCAGTTTCAGAGAGATTATATGGCATACGCCATGGGTTATGATATACTAGACAGTATTCCTCGTTCAGCAGAAAATACCCTAGGTCGAGAAGGATAGAAGACTAAATGCTGTATCATTCGTAGCCAGTCAACTCATTTTTAGTACGATGGCAACCAGTACGTGTGAATGTAATCCCCATTACGTAAAGGTTGATTCGTTTGTGCCAACTAAAAAGCACGAGGCATAAATAATGTCTTAAAATCTGTCAAAAGTAATGAAGTAAACAGTGGTTAACTAATCATAGTATGAAGCTCAGTACGTTGAGTGATGGCTGAGTGGGTAGACTCTGCTCAAGTAGTCGACGCGTCTAAAACATATCGGTGGGCCGAAGGAAATTGGGGAAATAGCTCTATATATTAGAGCTGGACGGACAATCATGGCGACTGCTAATGTCTAGGGTGACCCATTGTTAGTAAAATTCGCTGCACTACTGTGTAGTCGAGTCGTGATTTTATGTCGGACCGAATACATGAGTTAGAAACTATGGAACGGCCGGCTATTATGTACCAGAATCGCTCATAACGGCGTACGCTTTTTGTCAGTCAGTGGGTAACTCTAAGTACTCAAATTAATCACTACGTATACAGATCCTGCGGTTTCGGAAGTGTGTGGAAATTTGGTATTCATCACCATCAGGAAAAACACAGAGAATTCGTTGCAACCTATGGGACCCCGCATTGGTGAGCACCTAATCTTACTCATACGAAGCATCCAAAATGGAGCTTAGTCTAGCCGTCTACAACCAAAACCACCGAGCCACAGGTGGTTAAGATATTTGTGTCGCTAGATAGACTGTAAAGCAGTATCGCAGCCGCAACATCTCTGCTACTAACGCTATTACCAAGCATTGGTCATGGAACTTTATCAGAACAAGAGTTTGGTGGTAAAACGACAATGGGTTTGTAAGTTAAGAAAAGTTATACTCAGCACTGTTTACAAGTGCGAATTATTCTGATATAGTTGAATTTGTCACAATTATATCTGGGTAGACAAATAAAAACGTCCATAAATATTCGTCTTTGCTAGTAAATGACTCCGTTTTATTTATTCAGAACAGAAGGATAGCAAGTGTGTGATCTTAGAATATGCAGGGTTAGTTACTTTAACGAGTTACGTATACCACAAAAACTAGCTGTCTGTCCAAACAGAATCGGGTATGCATGAACTCATTGCACGTTAAAAAATCAGGTGGGTATTCGACAACCAAGCCGAATAATGTCCTCATGGTGCCAGCCGGATCGTTCGGCAAAATAGTTCGGCGGCAGTATTCCAGGATGTGGTAGGTTTTCGCCTGACAAACGTTCTGCCTGTAAAAGGGTACGAATGTTTTCTCAACAACAGTAAAGCGTGGCGGTTGTGAATGCCCACAAACTAAAGTCATTACTCTTTGCTTATCCGGATATGTTTATCCAATCCACGGATCTCAATCATCTCTTCTCACATTGGTGACGCGAGCAAACAGTCAAAAATGCAGTTATATATACATATATATGTATGTATATATATATATATTCTCTCGGTAAAACGAAGCACACCGGTGAAGGCGCGATGAAATATGCATATAAACATAGCTGATTTGGAACAGTAAAACGTTTCGTTTTAATGAAAATTATAACCGAAATGTTCCTAGTTCATATGTGTGAGCATTTTGTCAGGGAATAGTGGGACCCAGGAACATGATGGCGCTGGGGTGCGGAAAAATCAGTCAAAACTGTTGTGTCAATATCCAAGTTCGGCGTGATTTCACCATGTGGTAATCCATGAGCACAGGAGCCAAAGTAAGAGTTCGCTGCAGTCGCTGTCCATTAAAAGATAGGAATGTTCGGTGCTACCTTGAAGCATTCTCTATATCGAAATCGTTTGCACAGGCTGCATGTAGAAGTCTGATGACTGCGCCAGTGTGAAAAGGTAGGTTGTGAAATTATTCAGTGGCGATTCATATCTGTCACGTCGCACTGTTGGTAAGCGGACATTGGTAGCTTTTATGGGGAGAACGCTTGCCAGGCGAAAACCCACCACGTCCTGGAAAACTGGCGTAAGTTATTTTGAACTGTAGTGCAAGATGGCGACGCATCATCAAGATAGCTTTTGCGCCCGATTATTCGCGGGGGATTGACGGTCAAATTTCTTTGCTGGTTGACCGAGTGGTTTAGTCACGATCATTCAATAGTCGTTGAAACCGGTCGAAGATGAAAAAGTGTCGTAGAGTCGGGTGATGTATGATGCAGGCAAGGAAAAACTTCCAGTTAATAGAGGCTGGCTTTTTGTTCTGTGGTATACTTGTCCAGGTTGTACAGACTATGTCCTGCTATCCACACTGGACTTGTCATGGGGGTGGTCAGTGCAGTTGGTCCTTGTGTCTGAATACGTGCATATCAGGCGAAAATGCCATACCTTTGTCCAATGTTGGATCCTTACGAAGTTCTTAGTCCACAAAATAGGATTAGAATTCCTTCAAATGTAAGTAATAATGAAGTGTAATTGTCTCCATGGTCCAGCAGAAGCTCCATGAAAGGCCATTGAAAAAGCTGTAGGTAAATGGAGTATAAGAGTGTTCTTGTAGAAATGAAAACAGCCGAACCCATTTGTTCCAGCGCCATTGAGGAGCAGCAAAGCTGTCTACGAAACGCAATCGGGAAGCTCCAGTTGAATGGAGAAGCAGAATGTTCTTCCCGAAATGTAAGGCACCAAATCCAATTGTTCGAACGCCAGTGAGAATAGGCTATGCTGTCCGTGGCAACGAAGGTAATCATGACAGAACAGTCTGTCCTCAGTTGTGAGACAGGGGATCCATGTAAACGTATCATTCCAAGTGAGCAAACTGTGATACTGTGAGTAAGAGGCGAGCTAAACATTTGCTTGGACCCAGTAAAAGTGGCATCTCCAGAATGGCGAAATGAAATCCATTTGGAACGATGAGTATGTCCTTCAGAGAGATTGATAGTTCCTTATATCCAGGCGAAAGGATCAAGTGTTCAACTCAGCTGGCTATTGAGAATGGGTCAGCCAGTCTCAAGGGGTGCACCTTCTTGCGTCGGTCGATGCCACTGGGGATATCTCGGGAAAAACGAGCAACGAACAAGGCGCAGCCAAACAGACAGACAGGCAGCAATGCATCAAGAAGCACTATCAAAAGACTGATGGCATGCAACGGTACCTAGCTATATGATGCTCTGAAGGCTATGTAATTTTGCTTAGTATACATGATTCGCAAGTGCATTCTTTACATCACGTCTCTGGGGTGGATCAGACTGCTACGTAGGAAGAAGGCTCTGCACTTATAAGGGTCAAAAGACCGATATAACCAAGCGTGTTTACAAGGTTGAGCGAATAGTACGGTTATTGGAGAGAAACAAATAAACTGAGGATGATGACCGCCGTCCGAATGCGAGAGGCAGCATAGATGAAAATGAGGCCAACTAGATTGAGACGGGAAGTGAGGAGCAGCCAGTTCGTAAAGCAGTTTTCCAAGATGAGAAATGCAGAGAATCAGTGGGGAACGTATGCATGAGGAGAGAAGTGCGATGAGCAGTTAGTGAGAATAATGACCCTGAAGCGCTCATAATTCCATAGTCTGAAAACCGTCAGAATCTAGAGAAAAGAGTCAAAGGGGAACAAAACTGCCGTGCATTGGGAGTCGTTAGTTAGGATACGGACTGATTGATAAGGGATGTAGTGAGCTCATTCAGCAACATCCAGGACGTAAAACAAATGCGAACATGAGGTGAAGAGCAGATGCATATGAAGAGAGGTAAGATGAGCAAACTAACATAAGTGACAGCCAAGAAACAGCAAAGATCTGGGTGCCGTCAGAAAGCAGAAGCGAGGTCGGAGCGGAGGAGACCACACGCAGGAGGATACATTAGTGAGGCGCAATGAAAATCGTACAATAGAGGTTGGAATAAAAGGGAGCGCAAAAATAGGCACGGCCAGTTTCCGGATGAAGAAGCCTATATGGATAAGGAGAAAGTGAGACCAACAGGGATCACGACATAAGTGGAATAGAACGAAGCCGCTGCCAAACTATGTTTGGGAATGGCACTGAGTTCTGGGAGACGTAGGAGAGCATAAGACCGTTCAGATGATATTAGCTAAGTCGGCGCGCTGAGATGGGATCGTACTATGTTGGTGAGAACAAATGTGGGGGAAGATCAGCAGAAATGGACAGATTATATATATACATATATATATATATATATATATATATATATATATATATATATATATATATACGAAAAGGTACACGGCACTAAAAGGGGAGTGATCATTTGTGTAGTGAATAGGCTTCATGGTTTATGCGGCGTAAATCATAATAGTAAAGGGAAGTTAAATAATAGAATTTCGGATCATGATTTTTTTCCTCGTGTCCTACATCCGAGCACCTAATAGGTAAAAATTACCGATATTTGTATCATCATTTTCTAGTCTGTGTGGCTCAAGAGGAGATAATAAATGAGAGGGGATACTAGGCTGCAGGCACAGGATTTGGTATTGTAGGTAAGGACATGTAGTGAGTAAGCTAGTTGTAAGTGAATATCTGCTCATATGTTATTTACACCAGCTTCTGTCAATGTTTCTAAAGTTTGCTGTGAGTCAAAGATCATCAACACATTTGGTATAGTGAAGAACGTCTGTAGGGAATTACGAAATGTGACATACCTTGTACTCATGCGTATCTATAGGGGTAGTTTGTTCCACTATCTCACTATGAAGAAATTAGACCGAGTTTCATGACTTGAAAGGTTTGTGCGTATCAAGGAGCCGCCATTACGTGTGGGGTAGTGTGCAGTCTTCCGTAGTTCAAATGCGGTGTTGTCTGTGTAAATTCGTTGGTTTATAATATTGTAGAAGAGAACGAAGTTGTTCTTT